AGATTTTGATAACATTGTTAGGAATCCGAGAGGATCCCAATGAGTGTTAGCTCACAGAGCAGGTGCTCAGTTCGGCAGGAGTCCGTTGTCCGGAGTTTAGAGTTGTTTCGGCACAATGTTCTGATGATCTCCGAGGGTCGAGGGCTGGCAGGGAAGGTGCTTCTCAAGAATGAGGACGCAAGGATTGCGTGTGACAGAAGAATCTGTGTCTGATGTTTATTTCAGTGTATCTTATATACCGTCCGGGTTTCATAGCCCCTTACAGTGAAAAAACGGAAGGAGTTCTCCAGAAAAAGACTATTCAGTCTTTTTCTGTATCAATTAGATCAGAGTTTCTTGGCTTACATATTTAAGTACAATTATCATGTAAACAAGTGTAATTAACTCAAAAGAGAACACTGACTTCTGGAAAACTTTTAAGACAGTAATGGGAATGACCTTGTTCACAGAAACAGAGGTGATTTCCCAACAAACATCTCAGGGTAGTTCCCTTCTTGGCACATAGACTGCTCCGGGCCTCTGCGGAATGCCCTCCGCCTGTCCTGCGTCGTCCGTTTCACTTCCGTAGATGGGAGTCGATCGAAAAATGTTGATTCTGGACCGGCACAGGGGACAGCATTGGCCCATAGTGCCTTCGGTGACCCAACCGTAGGGACAGCCCCAACATGACAGGTGGCCGCACGTGGTTACGACCGCATTTCTCGCCTCGTCCAAGCAGATGGTGCACTGCCATCGCGCCAGATCGGCCCCGCGTTGCGGCACCTGCCCGTCCTCCTGCTCGATCGGGTGCTCTTCTGCCTGAATCACCTGCTCCCCAACCTCGACTCCCTGCTCGACGCCGTCGACTGCCTGCTCTGCATCTTCGATGGCCTGCGCTGCCTCTTCGATAGCCTGCTCGCCGACTCCTTCCGCCGGTACTCCTTCCTCGGCCCGTTGCCCGATTGCTGGTACCTGGATATTCACGCTGACATCCGCACGCCCCTCCCGCGGGATGGCCTGCAGTAGTTCCACCGCTTCGTCCGATCTCTGCCTTTCAGTCCTCCTCGGACCCCTGTACCACACGCAGCACCTCACGTAATGGCCTACTTTCTGGCACGCGGTACATATCGCGTCCCTTGCCCGACACCTCACAGACCCTGTCGCATGTCTGTTGTCTCCACAAGCTTCACAGTTTTGCTGCTGACATACTGGCCTGAGTACTGAGTGCTGGGTTCCTGAACTGAATTCTGGATCTAGGATGTTGATCGTTGAAGCGACGACGATGGAATGATCATTTCGGTCTTTCGTTCACCTCCGTCCTAACTCGAGCTGTGATTTGTCGATGCCAGCGCCGTTTTCCATTAAAATATGTACTCGACATTTCTTCCGGTCGATCTTCTATCCGTCGTGCACATTCCGTACATCCCTCTCCGTTCCCGACACATGCCTGCCACTTTCTCACCATACATTTGACCCAATTCGCTCGGTCTCGCTACCTAAATGTTGTCCTCAACATTACTTAGAATATTTTCCCTGAAAGCGTTTCCTTCTAACTGGCTGTTGCCTAGCCTGATCTGAGTGATCCTCTTCTCTACCTCGAGATTCCATAATTGCCGTGTTCGAATCTGTAGCTCTTCTCCTAACTGGCCTTGATTTTTCCGGATACCTATCCGTATCTACGTTGATCTGAATTTCTGGAGATGATCCTGATGCTGATTCTGAAGACTTGTCGATCACTCGATCTTCTAAACCCTCCGGTTCTCTTGACTTCTCCTTAATTCGCGTTGACTCCCGAATTTCCTCTGTATCTGGCGCTGTTTCGAAGCTCGCCATCAAGGGTGTCTCCGCCGCTTCTCCGATGCCTTCAGTATTTTCGATGCCTGACTGATCCTGCCTTGGTTCTTCTTCGTTCCCATAGTCATCGTCGAAGGTTTCGTCGAATGGTATCGCATCGCCCTTTCATCCGTATTCACCTTGTAATAACGGAGCTGCGAACAATGGGCTGTACAGGTGTACTTTCTGTCGCCAACTGAACAAGCCTATAAGTATCATTTGGCAGTACTTCGGTAATGACCATTGGTCCCCTGAATTTTGGCTGAAGTTTGGTTGGTTCCCCCGTATGCACTGGCAGCCTACTGACTACTACTATGTCTCCTTCGGCTAGCCTAACGTAATAAGGTCGTCGTTTCCTATCGTAATAATAAGCATAGCGATCCTAAGCTTTCTCGATTTGCTCGATAACTGCTCCCTGAACCTCCCTCGCCGGGGTCCAAACCTTCTCCTGAACTTCCTCTACTGCCTGCGAATGATTATTCCATCTCGGAAGATACCCGTGCAAAACCCCGAATGGTGATTTGCCTGAAGTCTTGGACGCGACTGAGTTCAGCATCATTTGAGCCGTTGGAACCTGTTTCGCCCAATCATGTCCATCGGATCTCTCGCATAGAGACCTCAATAATCTGGCTACCTCCCTATTCAAACGCTCTATCTGTCCCTGACTTTGGGGATGTTGCGCGCTCACGAGCACGTGCTTGACCCCATTCGCAATAAGGAACTCCTCGAACGATTTCGCCGTGTACGCAGTACCTCGTTCAGAGACTAATCTAGTCGGCCTACCATACGTCATGAATACCCTTGAATTTTATTACGCCTGCCGCTGTAGTTGCCGGTACTGCCTGAAGTAGGATAAATTTCGTCAACCCATCAACCATCACTATCGGATGTTCGTTTCCTCCCGATTTCGGGAAAGGGCCTACGTGGTCTATAAAGACTTTCTCGAAGGGTCTCCATTCCGGTCGAATCACATTGCACATCCCTTCTCGACGACCCGACTGCTCTTTGTTGAAGATGCATTCGATACACATCTTCAAATGGTGCGCCACATACTCGCGCATTCTCGGAAACCAATATACGCGCCTAATTAATTCCATGGTTTTATCCATCCCGAAATGCCCAGCTTTGTCGTGTGCCATGACTAAGATATATTTCCGCATCGCGTTCGGAACCACGAATAACCGCCTACCGTCGATAACCTTGAATAGCACTCCTTTGAGCATCATGAGATCCTGC